AATTTAATTGCTATCAGGAATCTTAAGAGACCAACAGATAAATCAGGAGTAAGAAGTGTGCTAGGCTCTATCAACTTTTATCTAAAATATATTGAAAACAGTGCTCAAAAATTTGAACCATTACATAGACTTCTAAGAAAAGATGTAAAATTTTATTGGTCACAAGACTGCGAAGATTGTTTTAACTTGATAAAAGATTATTTATGTTCTCAACCAATTTTAGCCATTTACGATCAAAACAAAAATACTTATATTGAAACTGACGCCAGTTATAAAGGAATAGGAGCTACTTTAAAACAACAACATTCTGATGGTATGTTACATCCTGTTGCTTACTTTTCAAGAAAGTTATCAGAAAAAGAAAAGAAAATGGACATTATCCATCTTGAATGTAAAGCTATCAAAGACGCAATAAAGTACTGGCAATATTACCTGATTGGTCGGGAATTTATTGTGTGTAGTGACCATAAACCTTTAGAGAATTTAAAAACAAAAAGTAGAACAGATGAAATATTGGGTGATTTGATACACTATTTGTCTCAATTTAATTTCAAAATTATTTATAAAAAAGGAAAAGAAAACTTGATGGCTGATTTACTTTCTCGATCACCAGTATTAGAATATTTTGAATTTTAAATTACCAAATTCCTCATTTTTATCGGTTTATAAACGTCATGTCGGTTAACGTTTTTAATGCGGTGGTACTTAACTCGAAAACTAGAAGTTTTGAGAGGTGATACATTTGTGCTAGAGCACGATTAAAAACGTCAATTAAAGTATGTTTACCTACCTCGTCATCAACAAATTTCGTTATAAAATACTACAGTAAAAATTTTACTGTAAGAGAGGACACCGACGGGGAATGCTCAAACTTTCTGCTTCTCTGAACTGTCCTCTCCTGAAGACTCAGCATTAAATTTCAATTATGATATTCGAAAATTGTTTTTACAAGTAAAACAAAATAACGGCTTTTTCATACATTTTTAATTAGTCAAAAAATCTTTGATGATTGTTTCGCATCACAAATAGTTTTTAATATTTCATTTTCTAAAATATTTTCAATTCAATGTATTCAGAAAATTTAAACATTTCTTCATTGCCCTCACGGATTGAATAATACGTTTGTTTCCTGGCATATTCTAATGCCTTCCTTGTGGATATAACTTTTTGACTGGGTGCCTCTTCTTCTTCTTCCTCATTTTGATTTGATCTGCATTGCGTTAATCGTTTCTTTGTTTTCGCGAATGTTCGCAATTTTGTTTTTTTCCGCATTGAAATTTCACAGCAATCTTTCCAATGCTATTTCCACCATCTAACCTCGGGCACAACTAGCCTTTGCTCTTTCATTTCAAGGTCTCAAATTTTTTACTTTCAACGCCATTATCAATGATGACCAACTTATTAACGACGAAAGTAACGAAATGATGAAAGATAAAGTGAAAAACATATAACTAGAATAAAAAAAAGAAACTTTTTGAAAAGCGTACCAAGAATTAATAATTAATAGTACGCATTTTCGTAAAATTTAAAAAAATATTTGGTTAAACTTGAAAATCATTTTGTACCAAAAAGCCTGTCCATATGACAGTACTTTAAAAAGTCCGCTCTTTAGGGGCAATTTAACACAGAAAACAGTTCCGTGCCGAGTAATATTGCCCGCTACTCTTCACTGTCCGCTTTTTAGGATCTCGCTCTTGAGGACTTTTACTGTATCCACACAATGAATATTAATTTAGATTAATGATAGCTCAGTTTAATTGGGGTTACGCTAGAGAAAAGCAAATTTATTAGAAAGACATTTTTATCAAGTTTATCACCATGCTATCAATTCAAACATTTTCTTCCACGAATCATTGAACTACATCTTCCCGATGCTTTTTTCAATAAAGTTTTTAACAGCCAAAGTTCAAATTTTGTGCAAAGCTGTTTTGTTTGTAAATACAAACACCAATTATAATCATTATTGAAATAATTGTCAAAAAACTAAAACAGTTAAAATATTTTTTAATAGTTTATTTCGTTAAATTTATAAACTCAACAAAAATTTTCTGAAACGTTTATTGAAGTTGTTCTAAGGTAATGAGTTCTTATCATACAAAATTGATGAATTGTTGAATTGGAACTTATGTCCAGGCAATCCGTTTTTGTCAAACATTACCAAAATGATCATCATCATCGTTATTAATTACATCGCTGCTATCATTTTCATCATCCTCATCATCGTCATTGCTAATAGGTTTGTTGACCAACTCCAAAAGAAATGTGTTTTCATCTTTCTCTGACTCGCGACAATCACTCCTGACTATCAACGAGTCTTTTTCAGCAATAAGTTTGTTGGCAACTAGTTGGACTTTGGCGCCGTGTCGTGCAATTCGACCTCGTGCCGTGCCAACCGGCGCATCATCTTCATGCGATTTTGATTTTTGCATAAATCTACTCCGGTATACCGACTTTTTGTGCTGTGAACATTTGTTTTCGAATTAAATGTTTTATGAATTATCGGATACAAAAAAGAGACAAAATAGTTTGCCGATTGTAAAGGCAGTGTATATGAAATAATTGTATCATGCATTAACAAAAAGCATAGCTACAACAAACCCATACCAGTTTGTCAAAGTCAACTGAACCCGCTTTTCCCATCATCTCACCGCTTTTTATTTTTTCTTTATTATCTTTTATTAATTCTTCTTTAATTGAAACATTTAGAGCAGACAAAAAAGATAATTTTTGACAGGGATCTTGTTGGCTGTCTTTCGTGTAACTGGTATTTCCATTAAAATCATTTTCGTCATCAGAATGTTTATCCGAACTGGCAGATTCAATTGGTTGTGATTTTTGAACAAGCTGAGTTGACTTGACGCCATCAACGTTTTTACCTACAATCACATTTTTAGAACCATTATGAATTTTCTACTAATGCAAAACAAAATTACGAATTGCCAACTTTGAAAATTTGTTTGCCTGTTTCCAACCCCCTTCACAGTTGCACTTCTTAACATGCTGCCACTCAGGTTGCCTGCTCTGTTAAAGGTGCTGCAATGTCTCTTGATTTTAAATGTCTTTCGACTTTTGGCATCTTGTCTCTGAAGTCTGTGCATGTCGGCATCACCGTTTACCAGCAAGTTGCTCTGTTGTGGATCTGCGTTTTCTAGTCAAAGTTTAACTAATTTTTAATTCAGTCAACGTCAGACAAATGTTATAATATTTATGTTTTGTTCATAATGCATATTTCAATTTATTTGGAAAGATTTTAAATTTAAATTTCCAATTAATTGCGAAAGAGTCAAGAGTTAAACTAACCTCCGTTATTAGCCATCTTTTCTTTTTCTTTAAAATAATGAAAAAGGATAAGATTCCCATCGCTGGGTTTGATGACATTTCTTGATTTGTATAAGAAGGCAGGATGGTTGAGGAAAGATTTGTTAGTCTTATTAGTTTCATCATCGTCGGTCACTTTATGGTTGGAGTCATTGGAATCATTTTCAGCATTTTCATTTTCTTCTTCGATATTAATCTCCTCAGCAAACTTGCTTTTAGGAAATCTGTTAGTTTTGTTAGATTTTTTGGCGCCAATTTGGTTGGAAACAGTACTGTCAACTTTGGAGCCGTTGGAATCATCTTTTAATAAAGTTTCTGAGTGAGCAACGTACGGCTCCAACTTTTCAAAGTCTAATCCTTCTTTATCTGTATTTTCTTGATGCATGTGTGAGCAAGATTCAGGTAATTTTGGATATAAAATTGTTAAATTTTAGTAAACATGACCAATTGTAAAAATTCCGACAAACCAATGGTATTAAGCACAATGCCTCCTTCATCCTTCAGCTTATTCATCTCTTTGGATAAATTCTCCAACACAATATATGCTGACTTTTTATCGGCCACGTGGTAGTTCATCAACTTCCTCTTCACCGATTCCACTTGTTGGTATTTATGACTTGTCTCGTGCAGACCTTTGGACAGCTGTTTTGTTTAATTTATGTTAAGTAATTTTTTTTGATGCAATCGGTTTTTATTTCATTATGTTTTAGTTAGAAATTTTATAAACAGATGCTAATAATTTATGAAAAAAAAAACAGACATAACTCTCAAGAATAAATGGTTAATTTAGGTAAACTAATAAAAAATTCTACAAATGAAAAACGGTTTATAAGTTTTAGTTAATTGAATGATGTAGCTAAATAAACCTAATGTAACACCTGGTGGTGGATGAGAGGAAGGAGGAAAAGAAAGAGCGGACCTCTTTGGAATGTGATGAAGTCAATGAATGTCCACAATTCCGTACCACCTTAAATTTGTGAAGCATTTATTTAGTAATCAAATTATCGATCAACAGTTCATGCATTTGTGGAGTGAAAATAATGAACTGTATTGAAAAAGTATCTGCCAAACAATCAATTAAGACTTGGTGAGTGATTGATTGCGGCCAACCAGGAAGACGAAGATGTTAAACTAATTTTTATTTAAATTATATTTTTGAGTTTTTGAAAAGTAGTAGGCAATTCTGCTGCCATTTTCATGGTTCAAAATTAGCGATTTAAAAAAACACATCCAACTTTTCTGCAAGAAATTGAGAACATGCAGTACAAGTATTTAAAAACATTAATTCATTATATTATTTCTATTAATTTGTAGATATATTTTTTCATCTCCCCACAAAGTTTCCACTCACCCATCCTGTTGATTGACATCTGCACGATGACCTTGGATATCTTGTGCCACTCGTCTGATAACTGCTTCTCAAAATTTATTACCAACATTTTCAACGCTGCCAGTAAAAAATTTAACGACTTTTCTCAAATCGAATCATTCACTAAAATAAAGTAATTCTAACAAATGCAATTTAAGATCTTGAATAGTATAAAATTCTGGACATAATGAGCAAATGTATCATATGCTATGCACTCAACAGAACATTCATAAAGAAATCGCTAACCCAAAAACAAAACACGATTGGAGTTCTCAGGAGGGAGGGACGGTCCAGTTGAATAAGCAAGGAATCCTCTGCTGCTTCCTCCCGCCATGGCATCACATCCGCCCACTCTGTTTGAGAAAGGCTGATAGTAGCCGGGAAGGAGGATAGAGATTTGCCAGGATACATGCAAAAAGAACAAAACGTTCGGATTCCGGGTTCTTAACTGGTCTGTGAACTTTACAGCATTGGGTTTCGTAGCTAACATGCACGATTAACTTCAAAACAATGACATTTAATGTACACTTTGCTGTAGTAACAATCATTTAGATGTGCACTCATGTTTGAAAATGTTTGTTCAAAGATATTTAATAATATTTTAATTTCTCTAAAAATATATAAGCTGTGTAGTTATTAATTGAACCACGTACTATCGTTGTAACACTGCGTGCATGAAAATTCAGCCACAGAGTTTTTACTCAAAGTTTATATGTAACAATTCAATCATTTTGCAGTATGTATTAATAGGTTTGCATGTTTCATGTCATGCAAGGTAGTATGTAATTGCAGCACCATGCAACATCTCAACATAAATTATGCACTCATTCTCGAGCATGAACTCAAACAGGCAAAACAGACTGACCTGGAAAATGTAGCATGCGAGTTTTGCCCTGACTCATTGTTTTCATGCAAGGTATGTGTTGCTGAAAATGAGAATCTGAGTCGAGGCCTCTAAAGGGTCAAAACAATGAGTCAGGGCTTTTCTGATTTTCAATATCTTCCGAGTTAAAATTTGTTGAGACGTGCAATACATAGATAAATAAAGCTATAATGGTCCAATTATTTCTCATGCTAATAAAAGCCTACAATACGCAAAAAGCCTATAAAGTGCAATGTATTTTATTATTTGTAACAAATAAGAGCATTAATTTTCTTGACCATTTAAAAAAACAAATCATTTTTCAATTTGTATCTATCAAACATTAAAACAGAACGTAATAAACATAGCATCACCAGCTTACCAGTGTAATATCTCTGGTTCGATAGTTGGAGTGACATCGGGAAGACAATGTTGATGATTCCATTCATGAGTCTTTCGGCTGATGAAAACATATTAGTGGATGCTTCACACAACAACTCCATGCTAAATGTGTCCTGCAGTAACGGTTATTTGTACCACATATTAAAAAAAATTTCGTGACAGAAGCTTATATAAAACAAAATTTATTAAAAAAACTAGATTTATAATCAACCAATCAATCAATCGGCCGAACGATCAATTGAACGAACTTTGCTAAATTATTATACTTTATGTAGAGATGATGCGTTTTTCGCATCGATTTTTAAAACTGGACACGAACCTGAAGAACGTAGAGCATCCTGATGGCCAGTTTAATGGCGGCCTCATTGAATTCTGTTGGACTGAGAGATTTAAAGGAAGTACTTGCAATGGACTCAGCGTGGTGAGGAATGCTGAATGAGCTCCCTGCAACGATGTGCACGTTGGAAAGTATTTTGTTTTAATTCCAAAATGTTTGCAGATATAATGATTCGATCAAATTGAGGAAACGTTCAGACCTGTGATGGATGGCGAGTCGTCACCCATGATAATGTGCATACACGTATACACCAAGACCTGGCCGTTCAATGAATTTTTTAGAATAAACGTAAAATTATTGTTAATTATAAAATCAGTTTACTAAAGAGTTACAAAAATAAGTTGAAGTGGAGTGAAAAATTAGCAAACCTTCAAGTTATATAAAGTAAAATAAATATCGATGGGTCGAATTGATCGCTTGACGAATGGTCCTTTCGTCTCATTCATCTCAAGTTAATATTCTCTAAATTTATTTGGTCGAAGTTTTTTTTGTTTAAATTAATATCTCTGAAAAAATGTTTAAGCTCATTAGCTTGTCAAAACTCAAGCACTATATTCATTTAGTGAAAGATGTAAAATCAGTCAAAACAAAATACCTGGAACAAACTAAAAAATAAATTTTCATTAAATTGTACAAGTCTGCAGGAATTTTCAAGCAAAATTAAATATTTGGTGCCATTTAGCTTGATCTGATTAAATGATTGCCAGTAAACTGCTGAAATACAAACAAAAAAAATCTTCATTTGTACAGCAAAATCGTTAGAGAAGCCATCCAGTAAAATTTATTTAGAACAGGTTTCGTCACGTTTTTGTGGCAGATCCTAATGTGTTGCAATAAGAAGATAAAGAGTTAAGTGAACAGCAGTTACAGTGCGTACTTTGAACAGCATTAACACGAAAAAATGAAATGACACCGCATTGGAGCTACAACGCTCCATGAGTTTATCTCATCATAGGAAAAAAATGCTAATGTGAGGACAATTGAAAATTAAAAACCTTCTTGAAACCCAGTTATCGTAATTTTACAAAATTTGGTTTCCTAAACAACGATTTCAGTGATTACAAACAAATCACATTATCATCATTCAGAATTTATTAACTTTTCTCACAGAAACTCAGCCTTTAATTTTACTTAGTAACAAAAAACATGCTGATGATCAAATTTAATAACTTACATGCAATTATTTCCACTGAACATGACTTTTTAACTTTAGATACACTTTATCATTACATAAGAAATGTTAAAATCATATTGAACGCCCTACAATTGATTTGTCCAATGCCTGACGCTAGTCCAGTCGCAACAATTAACATGCAAAACAAGTGTTTGATATTTTCATAACAACTTAATTACAATTGTTTTACAGAAATTCGTCAGTGCTACGTCAAAAACTTCCGCTTCATAATTTATAGCCAATCAATTACCTATTTCGATCTTGAAGAAACTTCTTCTCAATTAGTCTCACTCCTTCTTATCCAGTAAGATTTCGTGCATTTTAGCGAAAACTTACAATCTTTCAAGTTTAATGACTAAAGTTTTACTAAGCAGCAAAAACCCTCTCTACAATAAACAACAGATATTCATCGCATAGTTTTTTTCAACATCGCCATTGAAAGTTTAAAATTTATTTTTAATGACCAAGATGTGCTTCAAAGAGAAATTTTTAAAAGTCGTACAGTGGGAAACCTATGAAGACCAAATATTAAAGAAAAACATTATAAGGAACCTTCATCTGTGGCAAGTGACCAATGTAGGAGCAGTTGCACAATGTCAAGTTGATAACTGAAAATTAATTTTTTTTATACAAAAATAAAAGCAAACAAGAACACACTAATGTTTATTAGTATTCAAGGCATTTTTTAAAGTTTGACAACCACTTAACCTATAAATTTGAAAATGACAGAACAGAATTAAAATAACACAAAATGTTAGCAAATGGAAATCGTGATTATGTAAGCATTTGAGAGAGGATCTCGATTGTTTGTTTGTTTGTTTGGTTGGTTGTTAAAGTAACATCTTCGTCATTTTAAAATCTTTTGATCATCTTTAACGTTTCACATTCGTAAGACTACCCCAATACGTTATATCGAATTAACATTCGTGATTGGTATAATAAGCAAGTTGTATAAACTTTTCTCTTTTTAGCATACTTAACTATTTTATACGTAGATACGCACTGGTACACGCATAGACAAAGTTTACAAAATAGGAAAAGCATAAAGTATCAAAATAGTTTACCGTTGACAAGATTGGTCACTGCTTTCCAAGTTACGTTTGACTGTAAAAAAAAATTCCATTTTTATTGATTAACAAAACTAAAAATTGGGGTTTTTTGTAACATGTAATAACAAATATAAACAACGAATTTATTGGCACTTCATGAAACTATTTTGTAAACTACAATGAATGATTCGATGTGACATGCACACGGTGTGTTAAGCATGAGATATTAAAATTTGAATTTGAGTGAATTGTAGATAGCGAGCCATCTTGCAAAGTTATTGTAGCAAGAGCAGAAATATGATCCAAATGAATAATTTTCCTCAAAAATATGCGGCCTTAAGCCATTTGGTTCGCCTAATTGGCTTTTTCCTATAATGACTTTGTTAATCTGTTTTCAGTCAATAGCTAAATTTTGTAATGCAATTCTCAACATTCCAGTTCTGTAGAAACGTTCGTGGTCCACACAAACAAGTTATATCATTCAGCAGTTCCGATTTCTTTGCGAAGTTAAACTTTGCCAACCGTCTCTGAGGCAAAAACTATCACATATCACTTACGCATTTTTCAGCTTAAAATTTATTCAATCAATTTTTAGTTTTAAGTTCTAATTAAATAACAGTTACGTTACTATGTACCGACAAAAAATGGAAATATTTTACTCCTAAAAATTAATAATCCTGCCAGCCTAAAAAATTAAATAAATTCAGAAATTTGAAGAAAAACGAATGAAGGTAACGTCACTTAATAGCACAATACCAACTGAGTGAGTAATCATAATCAATTTGTGTTGATGAACAAAACGTACTATGAATATGGACTTGTTATGAATTTTGTTGAGGAACCTCTCAACCCTTCGAAGGATGAGGTTCAGCGCAGGTCGAATATTCGTTTGCGACCAATCTGTGTTAGGCAGGATCATTTTCATGTACCTTTAATAATAAGTACCGTGCCTGTCATTTCGTCGTATAACACCATACAAAATTTATCTTTACATTAAACTTAACCATCAAAATGCTTCTAAAAATGACGCTGCGTCGTTGTGTTACATCTGTTTAACTCACGGACGCGCACAAAAAATACACACACATGAATATATAAATAAATAAATTTTTATAAATTATATATAAATGCAAAAACATGTAACAAATACACACATGCAAATGAAGTAAATAGGCATCTTGTTTTCAAAAAGTCGTAAGATTTTCATCAAAGTATTACGTATTAGTTGAGCTCCTCCAAGAAGAGGGCGTTGGTTAGACTATGGAAGGCGTTGGAATTGTATAATAAACTCAACTCTAGCTATAAATTGTTATACGTTATCTAAAAAATGAAATAATAGTTTCATTTCTGAATTACACTGCATTTTGCAGCAGATTTGTGGAGCGACTCTTCGACTACTCAACACTCTACTGTCAAATTTCGAAACTCCAGCACTATATATATTTTTTGTACTATGTGTGTGTGTGTGTGTGTGTGTTGTGTGTGCGCGCGCGCGTGTGTGTATAAAAATGTTACTTTTGCAATCCGAGAGAGTTGATTGTAGATGGGTCGTGTGTGCTCACCTTCATCAGCGAATGACAGACATCAGCTAATCTCTAGAGAACAAATATTAATTACATTGGTGGACGGAATGGTAAATGGAAAAAGAAGATTTTTTTTCATGATAAGTAGGGTAACCAAAAATCTGTTGGAGGTTTTTAAAAGGTTGACAACATTTTCTTTGCTCAACCCACACTTTTATGATCTTTTTGATTAAAAGAATAAAACAAAAGCATTCTTATAAAAATGTTAATTTTTATGTTTTTTCAAAGTAATTCAAAAATTATACTTAAACAGAAATATTTGTTTATAATAAAACATATTTGGCTATGCATCGATTAAAATTTAATATTTGTTTATAAAAAGGCAATCAAAAAATTCAAAAATTTAATTTTTGCAATTTTGATTAACAGAAAGTTGATTCACGTTGGCACAACAATTTGCTTAGTTGTTTATATAATGTGAAACTTGAAGATATAATTTCGGTGAATAATAAATAGAAACTAACAATATGCGACTTGTGGTCCAGGAGTTCGGGCAGTTTAAGGGAAGAGTCCTTAGAGTGCAACTCCTTCATTCTGATACTGCAGTGGTCGTAAAAGTCAGATGCCACACTCAACAGTGAGTTGCGAGGCTTAACGAAATCTCCAAATTGACCCAAACAAGTTTCGTCTGAAGCTGTACATCTTTCAGCAAAAACGTATTTCAAAAGAATAAAATGTAAACCTGGTCAGAAATTGAGATAAGGTACAAAACAATTCTACATGCCTTTCAGACAAACAAAATATTAATTTCAGAAATGAACATGTTTCGTCATATATTTGAAGAATATTTAGTTGAAAAAATATAATTAAAAAACTTAGGTTGGCCAGTCAAACATTACTCAAAAATTGCAAATGAAAAGTATTGGAGCAAAAACGAGCATTATGAACGTTGGTTAGAACAAACATTTAATAATCTATATAAAAAAATTATGCAAAAAATTCTGACTTGAAATCATTAACAGCTTCTTTGTGTTTCTTTGGCTTGGGCGATTGATTGTTGTGGCCCTGGAAAGGTTTGTTGGCTGGTTCAAACTGCGATTTATTGAAACCCCTGAACAGGCAGTAAGTAAGCGATACAAAATTGAAAAAGTGTTTAAATCAATTAAAATATAATGCACTTATGATTCAAAAAAAATTTATGCCAAAAGAGATTTTCTTCATTTTGCAAACTAATAATTCTGATAAAGATTAAGCTTAGTGAGTTGCATTCTAGTTAATGCTGATTACCCTGGCTTGTATGCAGCTGCAGATGAATGCGCGCAAATGCAAAAAGTTTATGATGACGTTCAACGTTTGTGTTGTGGCCTATACCCCGAAAATGAAGCTACATTTTGAAACATCACTGCGATCTTTGCATTAACTAAATGGGACGTTTGGTACAAATGACATAATTTTATATATTACTAATTACAGCAACCCGAGAATTAAACCTGTCAGAATTCTCGTTTACTTAACCAAAGAAATTTTTTTAGGAAGAATAATTATTAATCTAAATCGTCCACAAAGTCTATAAAATCTAGATGTCTGTATTTCGCTAACCGCAGAGTTGATCTTTATAAAAACTTGGCCTACATTTGCTCCACATACAGATTTCATTCCCAAATACCAAACAATACAACCTGATTAAACTTCAAGTCGGTTTCATAAAAACGAAGATAACAATAACAAAAATAACCTGCTTAGACTTTCACAGCTTGAAATGAGGACCCTCATAGAAATTGCAACGCTGTTAATAATGGAAATTTCGTGATTGATGGAGCCCGGGTCGTGGGGGGCAGGGGGCGAAAGGGTGGACCACTGGTGCTCGTAGTGGAAGCGGTGGTCGTGGATCGCTTCGGCCAGAAAATGAGGAAGAATCGTTTCTAATATAACCTATAATTGTATATATATATATATATACATATATATATATACATATATATACAACATTGTATGACCAGATGAATCTGCACAGGACACCAGCTTCATTGACCTATCAGTCAAATGGATCGAGCGATAACTATCATGTAAAGAGAAAATGTGGACTAAAAAAGCTTTTCAAAATAAACACTAAATAGAATATATATGCATATGTATAATTTCTTTTGATGAGAACTTAGTTTGAAGAAAAACAACTAACAAGCATTTGTGTGGCACGCAGAGATTCAGGAGAATGAGCTATGATGGTGACGCACAAATTTATGGCATCTAATATGGTAAACGAGTTTGAGTCATCTTTGTAACAAAAGTCCTGTTGAAATATGCTTAGGTTGAAATATTTTTTTTCTATTGTATTGTTATAATGAAAAAAATAGCGAGGGTGAGCTGCAGTCTCTTTACATCTTAATTTTTGAGATTTTATTATTTGAGGACAGAAATTTTTCTTGATTTATAGACATTGAACAAGTTTGCAGAATTTTAAAATCAATAATAAATATACACCAATGACTGGATGGGGTCATGGTCGTCTAAAAGTTCAAGGACGTGTAGGTTGTCTGGGAGATCGTTATTTAACGACACAAGTAACCAATAAAAAAACCTTGGATCGAGACTCTGAGGGTAAAAAATAACAAATCAGTCAGTCAATGAGATTGAAATAAAATCTTAATGATTTTAAGTGAAAAAAATTGGCGAACTTGTTCATTAAGCTTCTTGTGAGGCCACAAATCTAACGCACCTGAAACCGATCCAAACATCTGCGTTTGTGATAATTAAATCTCTGCTCATCATGCTGCAATATTAATGTCGTTCACGATTTCAACAAAAAGAAAGCAAAAGATTGATACAAACACGAGACACAAATGCTGTAGAAACAACACGTTAACTAGCCTGCAGTATGAAGGAGTTGCGGTGAAGAATGAAAAACATTCTGCACATGTGGTTGATGGCGCTGACGGTGATGTCGTTCGTATGGTTGCTCGAATAGACTTTCATTATTGAAGGCATTATAAACGAGAAACTGGGAAGTCATTTTGAATGAGTGAATGTGATTTAGTGCCACTATATATATGCTGACGAAAAGTTTTTTAACGAGAAAATTTAAATTATATAGCCTAATTTTCTAATTATTTCAACTAACCCGGTTGAGGCAAAAACTTGCTTGAAATGTTTACAGACGTTGATGTACGTTGCTATACAGTATCTGTGTTTTTCGAAATACTAAAATGAACAAAACTATTTTTTTGACAAAATTTTCAGAACTGTTAAGTTTACAGTTACAGTTTTGACTATGCATTCAGCGTATGTTGAATATCTCGAGCAACTGATTCATCATATTTTATGTAATTTTACCATATCCTGAACAACAACTTTTACCCTTTTCATTAACATATTTCATCGTTTCAGTAAATCTCGGTTAGGAACCAGAAAAATATTTGAGAACATGTAGTAGATGATTTTTGTGAACACTTAGCAGAACAAATACCATGGCATGTGATTACATAGTTATAAAATATGACTCTTAACAAATTTACCTGAAGAGAAAAGAATCCTCGGCATGAAGAATGAGGACTCCATTGATTACGTTGAGGAAGAGCGGAAGGTCTCCAACATGGGTGATGGTGCTTGACATGCCGCGAAACATCGTCGATACTAGCTGCCGTTTGATGGTTCAAATATTTGAGAGTTTTCAATTATTTGTTTTAAATATATTAGTAAAAATCAAAGACTAAGAAAAACACAACTTTATTTTTTCTAACGAAATTAAATGTTTAGATTTAGAAAATAAATATTGATATACGATTAACATTAAAATATTAACAACTTATGAGATTACTTAATTAACCTTCGTCCATGCAAACTTGTGTAGCATGTCCATGCTCATTATCTCCTGAAATTTCAATAAAAAATTAATTTGAAAGACATTAAAGTTTTAGAGAGTAATTTCAAAACTGCAGATAAAGTAGAGAACAGAAATCAACAACAACAGAATAATGACAATAATAATAAATTAAACTATCTAACGTCTTTCATTTCTCCATGGTAAGCGTTGAATTCTGTTTCAAGAGCCTTCCTGGGAAAGGAAGGCAACTTTATTAGCTCTTCATGCAAGTACGTCACGTGACTTTGAAACTAATTAATTAATCAATCAATTTATTTAATTATTAATTAGTCGATCGTCGAGTAATTGAAATGTATTAACACATGAAATGTTGCCCGACTGACTGACCTGAATGCCTTGCGAACTGTTGAGAACCGACAGGGCAAACAGTACTTTCTCCATCTCCAGAAACTTCAACACAAAAGTCTGCAGAGTACATTAAAGGTGTGCCGCACTATAAAAACTTTAACCCAAATCAATAAGCAAACACGACCCAACAGACGGTTGATTAAATTTATTAGTGCAAAATTGCGTTTGTATTTTTCGTCCGATCAATTATAAAGTCGCAACAGATGAGCAAACCAATTTGCGTTAACGACATATTTGCCCAGTGCATAAAAAATATTTAAAATTATTAATATTATTTTTTTTTAACAATATTTGTTTGGAATAATTGTTGATAATCGATCACGTTACGTTCATTCAGTTGCGTTTGAGGAGTTACGAAATGTTTCATTTCTAAACAAAATTAAGACTATAAAAATGAATTGTACAGCACAGGCAAACCAAAAAAAGTGTAAAATATAATTTAATCAACACATAATTTCAGTAATAATGAGAACAAGTGAACAGCAAATCTGTCAGGAAAGCGAAGCCAGTATAAAAAAAATAACGTTGACAGCAATGGCAGAACCTGTTTCAGTAGATTTTTTTTGGCCTCGCGAGCGTCCATCCGAACCAAACTCAACTGCGGGTAGAAGTTGCGACGGAAAAAATAAAAGTCCCTCACGTAACTGTTTAAGTTGTGCATGTGATCTGTTCAAATTATACATTCATTCATTCATTCATTCATTCATTCATTCATTCATTCATTCATTCATTCATTCATTCATTCATTCATTCATTCATTCATTCATTCATTCATTCATTCATTCATTCATTCATTCATTCATTCATTCATTCATTCATTCATTCATTCATTCATTCATTCATTCATTCATTCATTCATTCATTCATTCATTCATTCATTCATTCATTCATTCATTCATTCATTCATTCATTCATTCATTCATTCATTCATTCATCTTTCTTAAGAAGCATAAACAGGTTTCCGAATTAAAGGCAAAATTGGTAAAAGCCAATAAAATCATTGATGCAGTGTTTACGGTTTTATCAATACAATTCTAGACATGTAACTTTCACTTTTGGCATAAATCATTTTTGTAATTTTGGAGTTGATGTGTTTTTGTCGTTGTAGCAATATTTTTGCATCGTGGGAGCATTCAAACAACTGTCAAACACTGTCAGCGCTGCAGTTAAGAATATTTCCAAAAAAACATTTCCAAAGACATTTTGAAAATTTACCCTTCCCATCAATAATAAATCAATAAGAAAAGAAATTTAATATTCTCATAAACAACCTGTAGTTAAAAGTAATTTGATATTTGATTGACATAATAATTCGAATGGAAAAATGTTTACTTGATTTTGTATCAACGAGAAAAAATTCTTCATGTTCATCTGCTGGAATGTTGAAGAATTCTAAGCTTTCTTGCAAGATGTGTTCAAACTTGGTGTCCTGTACTTGTGGAATGTTTTTTCAAACAAACATTAAGACGTCTCGATTTTCAAACTTTCACTTAGTTAATCAATGAAAAACAAAATCGTATTTTACAATTTTTTCCAATAATAATTAAGAAAGTTTTGTACAAAAAAACTCTTTAAATGTAACCTCTTGAATGAGGAATTGTGATGGTATACAGCTGAGATCGGGCCCATGGACAATTAACTTTTTAGCACTGGGAACGTTGGCTGCAATCAGCAGCATAGCCTAATAGTTAGACAAAAATTTCTCTATAAAAATTAATGCTAAAATAAACAGTACAATGCCATTCACCACATTCAAAACCGGTTCATGAAGCATATTACGTAAAAGCAAAATAAACAATCGCCTTCTTGAAAAAACATCCAATTTTAAGTTGAATGGAAATAAATTTTAAAAAATCGTCTTGACATACACCGACAAAAAAATCAAAAAATTTTGAAAAAATTCTCTAGATGTAGACAGTGAAAATAAACTGACATCACACTGTTCCTTTCTCAACGTTTGTTTGAGATCTTTAAAGTAGATCCCGGTGACGCAAGGGGCAACCTGGCGAGAGGCATGAGATTAGTAAATTTGAAAATTTATTTGGTAAACAATTGGAAATCTGCAGACTCTTGAATGACAATTGAAAAAATTAATTACTAAAATATAAAACGTGATAAGAGTTGAATTAATAGACAGCATAAACAAAATTTCACAAAATATTTAAAAAGTATTTTTTCAATATTTCATATTACACTATATTTTTTGTTCTGTAAGGAAATGTTTCTAAAATCTTCTAAATATTTTCAAAAACCAAACATAAATATTCTGAAAATTAAATAAATACGTTATTTTAATGTTACTTTCATTATTTTACAAAAACATTAAATTTAAATTTTGTTTTTTAACCAGCTGATTTAATTTTATATGAAGTAACTACTGATTGACCTGCCAAACAACGGACAATGTCTCACTGATAACGTCTATTCCTCCTTCCGATGGGGACCTGACGTGGAACATGATGAAACCAATCTGCATAGCAAGTGCAATGTAGTGCTGCTATATTTCAATCTCATTAAATTTTTATTATATGAATCTGAGAAAGATTCTGTAACTTAGTTATTATCACACAATTAACACTACTAGCAAACATACACAACCAATGAACAAACAGGCCAACCAAGTAATTAAAGAGACAGTGAGCTGCTTGCGACGGCATCATTTGAACGTGTTTGATCAACTTGTGCAAATAAAAGAGGAGCTCCTTGTGACGAGACTTGTTGGTTAACTTTTCAAGAAATATCCGAAGAAATAACGCTGGATCCTCCACTAAACACTTCCAAACAATTTTCTCGGCGACTTCACTCACTGCCAAACAATTGAGCAACAAATGCACTTTCATGTTTACGCAACAACATGCAACGAATTTTTAGTCAAGCCCGGCGCGTGGTAGGTGCAGAATATTTTGTTATACTTATGACAAAAAATTTCAAGTTTTAACGATGCCACCAAAATTTGGAAAACTTTACCGAGTTTTTAACCTACAGGTAATGATCATTGCGTAAAATGTGCTAACAAATGTGCTTCACATCTAAATAATACAACCAAAAACTTGGACTTAATTCCGATTTTCGTCTAATAAGCCTCATCTGGATATTTAATAATATGTTTTAACTACTAAATAACACGCACAAGTGTTTAAATACTGTCATAATACTACAATGCTATTAAGTATTTTAAATACATCGTGAACACTCGGGTAAGTATTTAGATATTATATAAGTATTAAAATACTCTAAATACTTGACAACACTGTCCCCTGAATCACGACGCATATTTTCCAAAACGTTTTCTTAGAAACATTCAAAAAACTGTCATTTGAAAATGATACATGGTCTAAATATTTTTGTGATTAAAAAATAGTAGCGTTTCAAAATTGAAGTAACTTAAAATCATCATCGTCCGTGCATGAATGAGCTTTGAAAAGTTGAGTGACCTGCAATTTCATGCAGTAACACCCATTAAATAATATCGGCAACTTGCATGAAAAGTTAAAAAGTTATTCAAATTTGTGTTAAATACTTGAAATATAAATTTTTCAATGTAGCAAAGTTTCATTTCCACATTCCACAGAGCCAATTTCTGTACAGCAGCACATTGTAAAATATCACCACGCGCCTGGCTGGTTTCTATTTATTTTCCCATTAATAATGGCCAAGCAGTCATTTCTATTCCCCTAACATTATAACATAAATTATAGCGAAAGAAACGATAAAATCAAGAAAGTCTTACTACACCAGAAACGCCATCCACATTGACTTCCAGATCATCGAGCAGTTGAACAACGTTAACTGTCGACTGACATATTGAGGACGGAAAGAAAGATTGAGCCAAGTGCACATGATTGGAATGCATGTGATCCGACCTGTCATCGTCTGCAATTTAGTAGCAGGGATAAATAAAAAAAATATGGTGGAAGACTTTTTACGTCAAACACAAACATCAAAAAATATTTTTAAATCATGAAGACTCTCTGAAAAACTTTAATGTATACAATTTTTTCTCGTGAAAGTAAAATTTTTTAGAAAAATTACCAAAACAAGGTTGTCATCATTATGTTACATAAAAACCTATAAAACTAACTTATACGTATGTAAACCTTGTTAGATTTTAGGCTGGCCAACAATTCAAATGACCAAATTATTATAAAATAAAATTTTTTTGGTGTTATTTAATGTTTACATCGCACTTGCAACAATAATTTTTTTGTAAAACTTTGAAATAATGTAATACAATTTTTTTTAATAAAATTAAGCACTTGTATAGTTAGATACACTTAAATCAATGAAAGAGTACTATCCGATTTAAATGATAATTTTATAAAATTTATACATTATATATTTAGAATATCCTAAAAAGTGAATTTAGCGGCGGGTTAGCTCAGGTGTCTGAAGTGTCAGGTCTCGTGTTACCGTCACTTTGCAGTAACTAGTTCGATTCTTCATAATTGATAAATAGTCAAAAAAAGTAACATGAAAATAGATTAATAAATTTATATCTTGGAAAATCCTCAATTCTAAATGATCCGAACTAAAACACACCGTCAACAATGGTGGGTCTGCAGAAGAACACGCTGCCGTGTCGCCCTGATAAGTTTCTCACGTTCGATGCCCTGTTCACCACGGCCACTGACATTCGTCGCGTTGCAACCGCCAGCGACATTTCTTCTTGCAAAGCTTTATAAAGGAAAACATTTTTGACGAAATATAAATATTCATTTTCTCATATTTTCATAACATTATCAAATGGACATGTAACTACAAAAACTGAGATCAAAATCTTTGTCTTTCAAAATTTTCATTAAACAATAAATTCCATTTAACCATCTTCGTGATCCTCGTTGGAATGCATAAGTGCCGGTTCAATGGATGCAGCCAGGCATACAGGAACTGAAGTCATCAGGCAGTTCTCCCGGGCAATCCTCCTTTTGTCTTCTTCCGCTAGGAGAGCCTGATGAATCATCTGCTGTTGCTGCTTTCTTCTCGTCGTTGTAGCCGTGACCAAAGATTTCTTAAAAAAATTTTAAAACTTCATAAACAATATTTTATCAACATAAAGATTTAAGAAAACAGTTTTACCATTATATTTAATTAATGAACTATTATTTGGAAAACCAATATGAAGTATCATTATACCAAAAATGTACAAAGATGGGCTTTGTAAATAAAAATTGTAGAGAGAGATATAATTTGTGAAAAAGCGCAAGATAGAAAAATATTTTGAATGAAATAACTACACGGCAAACACTGGAAAAACTTTACCACATGTTTTTTACTTTTGAACTTTATTCTTAAGGCCTTACAGTTCATAAAGTTTGTTTTTAAATGATCGCCGCAAAAATTAAAGCAATGATTGTCTATGAGTTCCAACTAAACTGACGAGTATATCAATAGGTCATCTGGTAATGGTGTGACACTGACAATGAATAGAATAGAGTTCGTGTTAAACAACTGATTATACTGACTCACATTAATAACTGCATAAGTCTACAATGTTGACTAGCGTTAAAGTAGTCGCATTTTGAACATTTGTGAACCTTTTTGAATTCTATTTTTATTTAAATTTTATCGATCTTTTATGACCCTTAACATTTTTTTGAACTTTCCATCTATGCATTTTTGTACAATAAATAAAAAATTAAATCAAAAATAAATTCGCAATAAAGCAACTGATTAGTTCAACTGATATTAGCAATGGTTGAAAAATTATGTGATGAAGAAGTTGGTCAGATATAATTAAGATGAAGAAGTTGGTCAGCCAGATCTAATTATAAATGCAAGAGCCAACCGATTCCTTCTGATTTATGGTGACTTCTTCAACTTTTGTTTTGAAGTGAGGCAACCAGGGCGAATCAACCACAGGCATGTTGGCCAAGCCAATAGTTGGAGAAGGAGGAATGAAATCTATACTGGGAGGAGGTAACTGTGGTGTTTGTGTCAGTCTCTTTAATGCAAATATAATCTTGTCATCAACGAATCACATTTAAAGTTTATTATATTCATATATTTATTGCCACCGATACTTGAATTGATTGAAAAATCTTCCAGTGTGGTGAGTAACATTTCTGATGACGATGTTGGTGAATGATACAAAATATTGAAACCAATACCACCAAATCAAAAAAAGATAGAAATGCGTCCGGACTGACATCAATTCAGATGACTTCAAACCTTAAAATGGAGTTGCGCTCCCTCTTCCATTCGCGGCCACACCTGAAACCTCGAATTCCACAAAACGGAAAACCTTAAAACCGAAAAATGTTTAGAGATTGTGTTAAAAAATCATGTAGTCAATACCAAATCATTATCAAAATCATTAACAGAAATTAAAAGAACGGTTTTCTTCCTAATTGCATTAGTTAGCTATATTTTTTTAAGTCAGATGCATCACATTTCTTCACATTGCTAATGTGATAAAAACTTCCACTTCTTCTTACTTTGTTTGCCGATGCCTTGAAGTCATTTGGTGATGCATTAGTCCCATAAACATTACTGCACAACATAACCAAACATCTACATAGCAATATATTCCAGTCTTTTATTTTTTTACTTTCAGCCAAATTTATTTTTTTTTATAAAATTACTTTTTACCTATTAATTTATAGGTCAACGATTTCATAATTAACCGATTACTTCGGCAAAATAGTCGTTGAAAAAAATGCATTTGAAAATTTAAATAGTAACAGCAAAAATTACTGCCAAAGAGAATCAATTTGGTTATGATATGAGAAACACTAGTGAAGAAGGCTAAAAATTTTGTTTAAAAACTTTTTTTTAAATATCTTTGAATGAGTTGTTTATCAAATGAAAAAAATGTTTTTATTTAAGAGCAATTTTTAAGATGATAAATGATTACTAATTCTTTCGAAGCCAAAGAATCAATCTAGACGTCAATGTTGTAAATTCTTATTTATTAGAAAAATTAAAAAATATGAAACCACAAGAAAAACGTAACACCAAAAAGTGACCTAAGGATAGCACCGATCCGATAAGAAACATCCTGGTGATTAAACTGGCAGGTCATTAAATCTTGCAACTGCTCGGGCACACGTATGGACGACAAGAGGAAAACTGCAGCTGGAAGTTGGTCAAAAGAAGTTAATAAAATGCTTGTGTGTGTGTTTGTGTGTGTGAAATCTAACTTTATACGCATCTAAAATCTACTTTTGTACCCTACGTGTTTGTGTGCCTATTAAACATTGATTGAATCATATTCAAAAGTAGCCAACCTGCAGCAGCTGCCAGCTCCTGATCACTTTCCAGCATAAGTTCCCAGGCGATCGGCATGATGTCGATGAAGATGTCGTCTGGTAGGACGGGCGCGCCTTTGCAGATCACTGCGAACGGACTGTGAGTCAGGTTTAGAACCTGGCTTAAGTAACAGCGTAGAATGACGACTTAATATAATGATATAACATAATACATAAAAATAAATTCTCACGTGATTTTCAAGGTACTTGATCATGGCCGAAGCATCATCTTCCATCCTATCAGAAGCATCGGCGCGACCGGATGGACCATTTATGTTGGCGGTGTCCTGTTTCTGAAAGAGATGCGATGAAGGAGAAAAGGAATTTCACCGACTATTCAGCAAATTACACACTTCGCTTGAATATCAAATTAAATAAATTATATTGAATCCAAAATAAGTTTTTATAAACATCGAAGTATTTGAAACATAGTATCTAACCCTAACGTTTTTTACTAGATTCTGACGTTTAAAAACAAAAAACGAGCGGTGTTATTTATTGCTTTAAGAGTTATTAACTCTATTTATTGGTATGTTAATATAAAGTCTACACAATAACTCAATCATTTAAATAAAGTAATCAATTTTTTAGAATGGATTGAATAAAAAGAGATTATTATAGATAGAGATTGAACTTTGAGTTTTGCTTCAGTTTTGGCTTCGTGCTGGTTCTTGCCGATGTCAATGTTATCCATGAGAAGAGGGTGGGAGGTGTAAACGTTTTTTAGGGCATCAACCAGACGCGAACAACTTCTGCGTTGACGTTCGTAGCAGTTTGCATGGCAGAAGTTCTGATGGTCGCAGACGAAATTCGACTTGTTGGCTAACTGCACTACCACCTTCGTATTTTCATTACGGCGTTTGTGAGAGGTCGTTTCGTAGGTAATGACAATCGTTATTTAAAACTAATAAGTATTTCAATTCAACTTGAGCAAACAATTAAATTTAGCAAACCTTAATCCAAGGCAGATTTTCGTGGCAATTGATGAGGTCGTCAAGAACAGCTGATCCTCCTGAAGTACTAGTCTGGCAATCGTCGTTTGTTGTCGTTGCTTTCAAACTATTTTTTTTCGTTTTAGCATTATTTGCAAGGCTGACATTGGTTGCCCCATCTTCTGGTTCGTCCTCTTCAAAAATTGCATATGAAGATGAAACTGTCTCCTCGGTTGAATTGGCAGAATGGAGTGATTGAGTGCTCACCTTGCGCATCTTTGAGCTTCCAACACGAGTGAAGCCTGGCGATGAAGGAATGAAATAAAATTACAATTGCATGCATACGTAAATATATTTATAAACTTGGATGAATGCCATTTTAAAAATTTTTCATAAGCACCTAAGTAACAAACCTGACATTTCATTGTGGTGAGTAATTTTGAAACTCCTGTTGTGTTTGAAAACTGAATTATTTTGATCAGATCCGCGACGGGCCTTCAATAACTTTTGGTTTCCAGCAGAGGAATTCGACATCTTCTTTGTCACCACTAAAACACACAAAATAATAATGATGACAAATTCAAACACAATGTTAATATTTTATAGATTGATGATAATATAAAATTCAAACACTTGTTGAACCTTCAAAGATACAAAACATTTCTGTGATGTGTAATCACGATCGTATACATCCTATTTGTTTTATTCTTTATTCTGTTATATATTCTATATAGTTTATAAAGATTAAATGTACAATAATTTAATGTTATGAAAACCCATTTTTCGTATATAAATTAACACATCTGTCCATTTACTATTGATAGTTAATTCATTCATCTTTTCAGAGCTCAATTTTTTGTAAAATCCTTCACAACCTATCCTTAAATAGATAATGTAATTTCAATACAGCAATCTCTAATTATTCCGATTCTCGTTACATACTACTTGACTGGTACTTATTTATAAAATTCTTCATATTCTCCAAGTAAATGACGTATCTGCAGTTGCTGACTGCCCGTCATGTTCAAAAAAGACTGTGCTATAAAGAGTTTAAAAACTTCTGACTGATCGAATGTTATATATTACAACTTTTCGACCTATTTCAGTTTGAAATAATCATAAATTAGCTTCTTTAGATTTTAAATGAAATAAATTGATATGATAAAATGTTTAAACGAGTAGTCGCAAATTTAACATAGCGCGTTATGTGTGCAGTGCGTGGAACATTTTTTAAATATAGCTTTGAATGTGATTTCTCACAAAAATCTTTACTTACCATTTTTGTTGTCGGCGGCGCTGGATCCGTTGTTCACTTGAGATATTGAATTGGAGCTGCTGTGTATGGAATTGGATCGAGTGTTTACTCCCAGCACAGCAAAACTTATTTTTCTATCACACGGACCTAAAATAAATATAATTTTAAAATGAACATGTTTTAAAATAAATAGAATATATTACATTGTCAAAATAAATTAACCCCAGCTTGATCCATGACCTCCACCTTCAGCTTGAGACAATCTTGACAATTTATTTATTTATTCATTTTACTCATTTTATTTCATTTTATTCTATTCAATCTATTAAAAACCAATGTACTCTAATAATTAAAAAATAACAGTGACAAATAGGAGGCTTTCAGAAATGAAATAAGAAGGTAGGAACTGGCTTAAGCCACTACATGAGCCAAATTTAATTATTTAGAAAAGTAACTAATGGTTTGTTATCCATCTTTTAATTTGTGATCTTACATATTTCGTTACCTGTTATTTGATAAAATTGTGTAATGGGTGTTTTTGTAATCTGGTTTTTCTGACTCTAGACTCAGACTCTAATTTTAGGTAATTTAATGAGATAATTCTATATCGCCACTTTTAACACTAATGTTATTTATAGCTAACAAAAAATTTAGTGGTTAAATTGAAAAAAAAGCGTTTTTAAAATTACCACTTTTAGCTGTTTTAAGAACAACGACCATTCAAAAATAATAACTATAGTTAGTGAGCTGCTAAAAATAGAGGGCCAACAACCTCGAACCAGAAAGTTCTTGATGGCTGAACTGTTGTTGAAGATGTTCATGGTGCTGATTTTCATTTCCCATGAAAACTGAGCTCCACCGTCTACTTGTGTCAGAAGACATTTTTTCGGTCATCTTGTCAACCATCTTATCAGCCATCTTGTCAGCCATCCTGTCAGCCATCTTGTAGGCTCTAGACTTAGGAAGATTTTGGTAAGTCTCCCTCAGATAAGCAGTTATTTCATACAGTAGTTGGCAGGCAACTAATTTCAAAGCATGAGGACAGTCATTTCCTCCCCTATTCACGGTTTCTGTAAGCAAGGTATAGAAATAAGTTTATAAATCATTCGAAAGAAGAAATACTTTATTTTCCAATAAAGCCTGTATGAAATTTTACCAAAAAACAATCTTATAAATTGAATAATTTAGTTCACTGTATAATTACATTGACAGACCCAACCTTCATTAAGAAAATTTTCATCCAAGTCACCGACTCGAAGCTCTTGTTTCTTGCCATCATCACTGATGCGTTCGATTAAGGAATAGAAATCTGGATTCTCATCAATCAAGATCTCTGATAAGCGATTACCTAAAGCCTTTTGTAGTAAAATGTTGTCAAATAAATCAAAATAGTGCTTTTTTTGTTTGTTTGTTTGTTTAATCAATCATTCGTTCGTTCGTTTGTGTTTGCTTGCCTGCTTAGTTGCTTACCTACTTGTTTAAAAATCTTGCAATCAAATTTTTTGTAACTTTCTATTGTATTGTCCGATTGTGTTGAAATTTTGCATATTTGCTTTTTTCGGATGACAATGCATAAATGTACTAACAGAACAAATTAAATAAATAAAAAATCAATGAACAAAATAATAATGAATTTACAATAAATGCTTTTTTTAATTTGTACAATCGACGCCTTTCGGTTTGAGGTGTTTGTTCAAATTTGTAATTAAATTAACGTCAATTTATAGAATGAACTTAAAAACGTGGTTCAACGTAGTTTCAGGGCTAGCAGTAGCTAAACTAGCGAACTTCAGTAATTCTAGAGAAGTGTTGAAAAACTGGCGGATGAGTAGCTAGCTATAGTATTCCCCACCATCTTTCTAGTTTTCTGTCATTTTCACTGATCAGCTGATCCGCAATAGCAAGAATTTGGCTGAAAATACTCAAGATGCCGAAAATGACTGAATCCGTCCGTGACACGTCCATTCCACAAGGCCAGTTTGCTATTCATCGTTATCCTGTCCACCCAAATCTGACGGTCCCTGTG